CAAGACGATCGAATGTATGTATCGAATGTGGAAGAACTGAAGAAAAAAAAAATCTCGATGAGGCACATATCTTGGCTTATGCGATGCATCCTGGGAGCACTAACATGTATCATACTATCCGACCTTTCTACTACTAGCCAGGAATGAAAAGAGAAATTGAGGAGTACGTGAGTCATTGTCTGGTCTATCAGCAGGTCAAAGTGGAAAGAAAGAAACCATTCAGGTTGCTACAACCACTTCCAATACCCCAGTGGAAATGGGAAGATATCATGATGGATTTCGTGTACAAGCTACCTCATACGCGTAATGGCTATGACGGTACCTGGGTAATTGTTAATCGGCTTACTAAGTCAGTGCATTTCCTACCTGTTCGTGAAAACTACTCGCTGAGTCAGTTGGCCGAACTTTTCGTCTCTAAAATTGTCAAGTATCATGGTGTTCCAGTTAGTATTATTTCTGATTTGGACCGCAAATTTACTTCGAAATTTTGGGTAGCTTTTCAAGAAGCTCTAGGTTCGAAATTACTCTATAGCACCGCCTATCACCTTTAGACCGATGGACAATCTAAGAGAACTATTCAAACGTTGGAAGACATGCTAAGATCTTTAGTTCTGCAGTTTGGAGACGAATGGCACAAACGCTTACCTTTGTTAGAATTCACCTACAACAATAGCTTTCACTCCAACATTGGTATGTCACCATTTGAGGCGTTGTATGGGAAACCATGTCGTACACCATTGTGTTGATCTGAAGTCGGCGAAAGAGTTTTGGTGGGTCCTGAAATTGTAAATGAGACTACACATAATATTTAAGTGATAAAGGGTAACCTGAAAGCAACACAGGATCGACAAAAGAGTATAGCAGACAAACATTCGACAAACAGAGTATATAAGGTTAGAGATCGGGTATTCTTAAAGATGTCACCATGGAAAGACATTGTACGTTTCGGGAAGAAAGAAAAGCTAAATCCTCGTTACATCGGACCATATCAGATCATGGAGCGAGTTGGTGAAGTTGCATACCGACTTGATCTACCTCCAGAGTTGTCAAGAGTGCATGTTGTCAAGTGTGCATAATGTGTTCCACGTGTCCATGTTACAGAGATACGTCTCTGATCCGTCACATGTGATTCCTCCTCAGCTGTTAGAGATTAACCCAGATTTGACTTATGATGAGGTTCCACTAACGATTCTTGACTGGAAAGAGAAAGTTCTTAGAAACAAAACAAAATCATTTGTATGGTGAAAGTCTTATAGAGAAACCACTCTGTTGAGGAAATTACCTAGGAGACAGAGGAACGTATGCGAGATCTTTATCCACGTTTGTTCTTTAACTATGATCTTTAGTAGTGTTGAAATTTCGGGGATGAAATTTTTTTAAGGGGGTAGGTTGTGACGACCCGTCCCTAATTTTCCATGTAATTTCCTTCCCGAGTGTCTCAAATGACATTTATGCCCTTATTGGCAAAGCGGACCCTAACGTGGACGTAGTTATTTGGCTTTTAATTTATTTTTCTATTATCGTAATTAAATAGTACTCATTGTTACGAATGCGTGAGCTCGAGTTAGACCCGAATCGGGTTTGTAACGAAAAAGTTACGCTTAATTAAAGTGCGTTAACAATGGGTAGAATTGTACACGTGTGTGTTAATTATTTAGTGTTAGAACTATTGTTTTTTATAAGGAGACCAATTTTGTGTACCTTGAATTATACAAAAAAATCTTATCACTTTTCTGTTTTAAAAGTTGGTCCCGTGACCATACCTTACCACCAATTATTTCACTTCCCACACTTTTTCACCCAATCAGAAATCTCTCTTCTTTTTTACCAATCAGAAATTGTCTTCTCTCTCTCTCTCTCTCTCCCTATTCTTCTTCTTTTCTTCACGCGAGTCTCCCTTCTCTATGCAACAACTAAGACCCATGATCAAATCTTACAAATCGAACCTCAGACCACCACCATCGTACTCCTCTCATCCTCACGAGTCTATCCGTACAAACAAATCCTAAAATGGTTGAGTTTTGAGCTTCCAACCCGGAGCTCCGACTCGGGGGTGGAATCTTCGACAATTTCTAGTTTGTATTACAAGGTTTTGAGAGATTTGGAAGCACCTACTCAACTCCCTGTGGCCACTAACCTAAGTTAGAAGTCAAGCTAACGTGTAGACGCACCATTTTGGGACGTTGGAGTTAGGGCCGAAAGTTTTGAGACAATTTTAGTCCATTTCCTCCACCTTTTGGACTTTTAAGAGGTACAAACTTGTTCTCCTCTTCCTAAGCTTCATTTTTATATAAAGTACGTCGAAAATGGTTGAGAATTGAGAAAGTTATGAACTTTTAAAAAATTTCCAAAAATCTAGCGACTTTTTCTAGAATCCGGTGAACCAGACAATGGCGAACTACGGAGGATAACCAGAGAAGAAGGAGAATATTCCGTTAAACTTAACAGAATATTTGGACACCGTTAGACTTAACAGAATATTCTGTCAAATATGACAGAATATTCCCTAGGGTTTTTGCTAGCGCGTGGAGACATGTGGCCTGCAAGTAGGCGCGCGTGCTGCTGCGAGCTGACGGCATGTGAGAGCACGTTCGGCTTTGTGGCGGCGAGTGGTTGTCGTGTACGGGTCCGTGGCGTCGTGTAGAATGTTTTCGTATATTTAAACCCTTCGTTTGAGCAAACTATGAGGGATTTTCCTAGCCTTTTAGTGTACGTCCTAATTAATTAATTACTATAGTTGTTTCACATATAGGAGAGAATTACCTCGAGGAGGTACGTGGACAAGCAAGGCTAGGAGGCTACGATCCGACTACGTATTAGTGAGTGGGCATTTATTTTTATATATTATATATAAAGTTTGATAGTTTCCACTAATGCCTTTGGATTGATTTTATGCCTATCATGCCATGTTTTATTTAATTTCAAAAATGCCATTATATTGTTGAGATTTATATATTGTCATGCCATGTTCATATACATTATACTTGCTCATCATGCATGCTCGTACTGGTGTAGTACTTGCCTCGGGCTAGGGCCAGGCTTTGCGTGTGTGTTCACATCGCACCGCACACTCACCTTGGATCCATTGTAGGTGCCAGTCCTGTCCTAGGTTGCAATAGACAACTAGGACTCGTATGTGATGCGCCTAGTGCCAGTCTTCATGTGATTGTAGTGCTAGAGCATATATTATGATTACCATAAATAAATATAGGAGTTTATTTTCGGTTGTGTAGCAAGTACCTTAACTAGATTTGATTGCTCTATTTATGTCATACTGTAATCTATGATTTGAACACTTGTGTTTTATGGGTTCTTCCCACTACTGCGCACTCCCCTTATTAGCTTAAATAAATGTTAGATTGGGTTTAAAATTTTCCATATTTTATGCATCACTATCCTTTTTGGTTACGTCACTTTTGGATGTTGGCCAGCATGCCTCGACTCTGGTCGGGGTGTGTCAGGCGGAGCCAGAAATCTAGACTAAGAAGGGCCTTTAAGCCATACAAAATAAATTAAACAAAATAATTGCAAATTTATTGAATGGGAGAAAAAAAATAAAGGTTTTGTTTTTTGTGTTGGCATGGAAAATTTTAACCAAACAAGAGTAGTAGAGCTTAAATTTTTAATATTGAAATGATTATATCATAAGAACAAAACTTGTTTATGAGCTTTAATAAATAACATATTAACACATTAAATTCGAACAAATATTTTAAGTCAAGACTTAAAATTAGATCTTGCTCTAGACTGTTGTTCTCCAAGAAGCAACATCGCAGCTTCTTCCAGAGACCCCAATCGAGGACATCATGGTACCCGAGGATGTAGGTTTTCAGATCATGACTGATGTCCTAGATTAGAACTTTGGTCATCGTCATGGCAAGGTTGTTCGGTGTATGAGGAAAGCGAGGGTTCGTGTAACAGGTGCCTCTTTTTCCAAATCGAACACAGCAAAGGTCGATGCATTGAAAGAGGAAGGGATAACCCTAAGGGGTCATCTTGTGATCCAGGAAGCAGATGAGGACCCAAGGCGAGTAGATGAAAGCCCAGGGCAAGCAAATGAGGGCGCAGCTAAGGGCCCAGGGCGAGGAGATGAAGAACTGTGCCGGGACGGTGAGAGACATTGTACGAGCCATACAGATGTTCGACCTTCAAATCTTGCTACCAACACCTCATCTTGCTCCACCTTTGGCCTCAGAGCCACCTCGCCCTGCCGATACCCAGTAGCCTGATGTATTAAACCTAGTTCACTTGTAGTTTTTTCTTTTTTGTTCGGACATCTTGTATGTACATTTTCATATATTTTAAAATTAAACACTTTTGCTTGGTTAATTAATTATTTTTTAGAATTTAATTACAATATTTATCAAAAATTAAAAAAAATTTATTTTTGACCAAAACAAAAAAGGGGTTTGCGCGATGCATGCTTACGTTGTGCAAACTGGCTTTGCACGACGTAGGCATGCGTTGCGCAAAGTGCCTTTGCACGACGTAGGGCGTGCGTCACGCAAAGTAGCTTTGCGTGACGCATGTTATTTCTTCGTCACGCAAACCCTACTGTCACTGCCTTGGTGCGACGAAGGTTGCGTCGCGCAAACCCTTAGGCAACGAATTTTGACTTTGCACGACGAAGGTATCTACGTTGCGCAAAATGTTTTTTCTACTAGTGAAATGATCTCTTAGACGAATGAAATTTTTGTTTGGATGATTTTGAAATAAAAATTACGAAACTAAACGCTTCTAATTATAAAACTTTAGGGTAAAATGCGTTATTCGCAGGAGATGAGATATGTGCATTCTTCCTCCATAGGATATGAAAAACTTATCCATAATAAAAGAACGTTCAATAACAAAAATGACTCCACAAATACAACTGAAACCAAACATATAAAGACTTCTATAATTAAACAACCTAATATCAGCAAATAATAGCTACAATGATTAACTTATCAAACATGTACCGGGATAACTATTTTAGTTTGAAGATATGGTAGAAAATTGAATAAAGGATGAATGACACAAACCATCTTTATTAACATGAATACATATAGGTGCTCGATTGCTCATATTTAGTTGGTTATGAACATTCACCTTTATACTTAACATGGTTTTCCCTCCGCAGTATCGCATGTATCAACAAAGAAAATATCAATACATAGCTAAAGTGTCCGAACAAGTTATTTATTCAAATCTTCAAACTCTCTATGTAGGATTTTTCTTCTTTGGAGGAGAGAAGCTTGATATATTCATCTAAGCTACTTGCCTTGTATCTTTTGGGATGCTGCTCATCAATGAGGTCCATGGCAGGCTCCATTATCTCTTCCATGGGTAGGCTAAGAAAGCTACCTATAGAAACCCTATTCCTTTCAGGGTTTGGAACCACCCTGTGGAAAACACTCTTGTACAACCCGTTGCTGAGTATTTCGAGATGATTCCCTACTAGAACTTTAAGGGTACCGTCGGTTGCTGGAACAGACTTCCAAGCACTATTGTCTGTGAAATCCATAATCTCAACCCCCGACGTACTTTCAAGAATGATGGTGATGATACTGTGGTCTGTATGTGACGATATTCCGAGTATACTGCTAGATGAGGAGCACCTAGGATATCGGCTGCCTACTATCATTTGCATTCCTTGCCCCAGGCTGCTCCTCAAGTAAGTTGGACTGAGGCCTAAGCTCTCTACTATGGCTCCAAGTATATCGATGCTTAATCTCTTTACTTCCGCTGCATATCTTCCCAAACTTTCTCTAACAAAATAATATCAAGTTAATTCCTAACTGAAATATGAAAACAATAATTTAATTTTGGACATAAGCATAATACCAACTAAACAACGATATCATTGTGTTCAAACCACACATTAATAAATAGGAAAAACAAAATAATTACGAAGGGACTTGGTCCTTGATTATTTTAACTTCTTAGCACTATAATTTCACTTTGTTAAGTAGAATATATTGAGTTCAAATCTATGAATCGAGATCCTCTCCAGATATCGTAGTCTCGAGCCGACAGATTGAGTAATCCTCCGACCCTCATTTCAATTCTTATGCCCCAGTAGTCCATCTTACTGGCCAACCTCACAAAAATCAAGGGTCTGAATTACGCAATTTGTCGGTTTCAGACTGCGAGATCAGGAGAAGATCTGAATTCTAGATCTATGACGACTTTTGTGAAATAAAAAATTAAAAAGAATTATGAGGACCGATTACAAACAAATTGTGACTATGAAGGCAAAAATTGTAAATGAATTCGTGAAAATATAAAAAAAAGAAATAGTACAGAAGAATCCAAATTAACATTGCCCCCATTATTTGGTGACCACACTCATTAGAACTTTGAAGAAAGATTTTAATTACCTGAATTCTGTGGGATTATGAGGCCATAAATCAATCCAATTTTCAATAGGGTTGGCATAAAGTTTGATTGAGTCCCTCGAATTAGTCACAAATCTTACTGGCTTGCTTATATCATCAGACAAGAATAGCTTCTTCTGATCCATTGGCAAATCAAAGAAGTTTGACAACGAGCCAAGAGCATTTTCAGTGACTGTTTTGCTTATTCCATGATTGATAACCTAGAAGGTACAACGCTAAATATACTATCTGGGGTAACAATTTAAGGACAACCGGGAAATTAACATGCAATTTTTGTTTTGGTTACCTGAAAAAACCCCATTTCTTGGCAAGCATGGTGAATACTTTTGACCAATACCGACCTTGTATGAGAGTCCTGGTGCAGCTGGCTAACATCAATAGTGGTCACTTGCGAAGGATGCAAAATTGGCACCAAAATCTGCATCTTTTCCTCCATAAGTTGCAGTTTAGCTAGCTGATGAGAGAGATCTACAGAGTTTGGAAGACTGAAACAAGTAAAGAGTAAACCCAGCGAATATATTATGTACTTTTCTGCGGACGTTGACTACGACATAAACTACTGTTGACAGCACCAAGGGCACATCCAAATGTAAATACAATTCAAAGAATCATATGCATCAACTTGGATTACGATTAATTAATTTTCCTTTCTGACCTCTATATCCAAGGGTCGTGCTCTTCCAGTCTTGTACCGACATTTCGTAGCGTCTACATATGATTAACTACTTTATAAGGAAAGAGCATAACTTCATATATCCATGTTATACTTACCAGAATCAGAACCCTTTGCATTCGAAAATTGACAAAATATGTTGCATTGTATAATCCACCATGAATAGTTCCATACGGAACGACTGGGCTTTTTATGATAAAATATTACATATGTTATGTTGTGTAAGTTTTAAAGATGCAAGTTAGGGATAATATCAGTGACTATAGGTTGCAAAAGTAGTTATATTCACACAAATCATTATGTTGAGAAGCAAGGTAAGACAGTAAACTCAGTAATTCGGCCAAGGTAAGGCAGAAATTAACTTAATTTGGGATAGAATCGGACATAGTTACGATAAACAAGTAGAAAATTACTCAACCTATTAAGATATGTGAGAGAGATTTGCAAATCCCTACTTGGGAGAAGTCGTTTACAAATCTCACATACATGTTTTTCAGTGTTAATGAAGGACCTTTCATCAATCCCTTGGTACTTGATAACTTGATCTCAATCTCTTGGTACTTGAAAATTTCTTATCCATAATTTTTTTTTTTCTGTGGTGGGTTCAGACATTCACCTTAGTGGTGGCATTTCACCTTTCACCCTAATTCGTACGTTCCTTTTAGTGGTGGATTCCTCTCCACTAATCAAATTTTTTTCCAATTCTGAAAGGAATGTGATTCGTTGCCCTCATCAGTCATCTAAATTTTGAGATTCGTTGCAAGTAGACATTATATGTATTAATCGCTTCCTCAAACTTTATGTATTAATCTCTTTGATTTTGTGTGAGATACACGCACATCCAACAAACTCATTACAATAGATAGCGTTTTACGCAATCGAGGTAAGTATTCATGCTTTGCACTCTGGTGCGTGTTCGATTATCCCTGATTCTTCTTTCCCTAACTACTAACTGTTTAACTCACTAACGCTATCATTTATAAATAAAAAATAAAAAAAGCCCCTTACCACCAAAGTTCAATGATCAAGAACTTTTAATTCAAACTTTACTAGAAATCGAGGCTTTTCTGCTAAGAAATAGAAGCAAATGCAAAAAAAATATTTGAACTTTTAGGAACTCATATTTTGTGCATGGGTATTTTATAGTTAATCACTTTTCCGTTATCATCCATTTTGAACTACTAAAGAACAATGGATAACGGAAAACTCAAAAAATGCATGAACATGGTAAAGAACAAAGTTATCATCCATTTTGAACTAGTGAAAGAGATGGCAAGTTTGTATTGCAAGTTGCAACTGTACTGAAGTTATGAGACTTATTGTTCCTGCAGGTGAAGGCCCATACCCAAGGAGTGGAGTTATCGATCTGTGTTCCCCTTTGAATGCCTGTCAAAATCAAACCTTCAGCCCGGATATTTTTGTGGCTATGTCACAATGAGCATCTACACTGATGCTTTGATGAAACCGGGATAAAGGATGGGTCCCCGAGAGCAAGTTGAAGGCGGTGTAGAGATGCTTATAGGCCAAAATCTGGTATACCCTACATGTATCAGCCGTTACTTTCATCATTTGCAAAGATGCTTCTCTTTCTAAGCCTCTACTTTGTGCAATTGTCCTTTGTTGTTTGAATGTGGCTTTTTATCTTGATGTCCTTATACCATCTCCAATCCTGACCTAAAATCTAAAAATATTTAGCCCAAAAAATTTAGGTTTTAGCCCAGAAATAGCTTTTCTACTCCAACCCCTTTGGCCTAAAATTTTAGCCCCAGATTATCAAAAAATGAATTAAGGCTATTTTTTTAAATTAACTTTTAAAAAAAAAAATTATGTAGACTATCCAAAATTAATTTTATGAACATTTTAACCTAAAAATATTTAAATTCCGATAAATTTTGAAAAATCACTAAATCAATACATGAAAATCATGATAAACCACATAAACTTAAAAAAAAAATTATTCTAGCCATTGGAAAAAAATATTTAAATTCCGATAAATTTTAAGATTATTCTAGCCATTGGATTTAAACTTGGACCGTTAGATCTTTTTTTTTTTTACCGTTAGATTTGATTTATATTCGATTTAAGCCGTTGGATTTAATAAATATATAAATATAAAAAAAAATTGAATGTGGACCGTTGGATTAACCAACGGTCCAATTACCACCACCACCCGATGAAGAAAAAGTAGTCGTTGGCTACAGGACAAGGCCCACTTTTCACTTTCATCCGTGGGTCCCAACAACTTTTGTGGGCTAAATTTGTGACCTATATTTACCTTCATTTTAAGTTTTAGGTTTTAGGTTTGGTTTAGGTTTTGGGTTGGAGTGGATTTGGGGGGGGGGGGAGGGGAAAATTTAGGTTATAAGCCACCATTGAAGATGGTCTTAGAATTTTGGTCATCTGGTTTGAATCCTTTTCAAATTTGGTTTTTTTTTTTTTTTTTTTCTGCTGTTTTCTTGCACCGAATTTGAAGTATAAACTGCTAACTGAAAAACTTTGCAGTGTTATAACTTTCGGGTTTTGGAATGCAGAGGGATTCACATACAACATAGAATGGAGCTGAACTTGTAGTCCATCTTTTTGTTGACTAATGTCATCTATAATAAGGTACATTTATGTAGACTTGGCACAAAGTCAAGCGCAGTGACGTTCCAAGATTCATACAACCGACCCCGCATAGTAGGATAAGACTTTGTTGTTGTATCTTTTGTTCTGATTCTTCTTATTGACAAAGATATTGTTTCTTCTTCGTTGTCATCCTCTTTGTAGCACCCACCCCCTTTTCCCTTGGAACAAAGTGCCCCTTTTCCTTTGGAACAAAATGACGTATCAACTCTTGGAAAAATAAAAGTCGGTGCTTGCTAGTGACATCTCTGGACAGTAGCATACAACAAGTGAGTCACCAGCTAGTGGCAAATTGCAAATGAATAATATCAGCCATACAAATGGCCACGTGAATTTTGTGTATCTAATTGATGATTCTCCCATCAGTAATGTCATTATATTAAAATCTAATCATTCTTAATGATGTTCTTGCAGAAAACTAGTTGAAATTGTCCTTTTGTTATTGCAAGAGTTTTCGTAATGTTCTTTCGTATGAATTGGTCCTAATTATTTACTGATACAAGATGATTTCACATACATGTTATGAGAGGGAAGTTAGAACAAATCACTCTAATGCTCTACTTAATTACTAATGATTTGTGATTATAACATGATAAGACCCTTCATAGGGTCGGGGAAGCCATATTACAGCAAAGCTAAAGGCAATATGCTTTGAGCCAAATCGTAAACGAAGAGATAAAGTGAGAGGGAACAAAGTTAAACATCACATGTTAAATCACAAAGCGACTTTAAGCAGAGTATTACATCAAGAGATTTTATCAACTAATCAAAGTTCATTAGCACCTTTTTAATTAATCATTGGGTTTATTATTATATCAAGTGAAACCGTTCCGGAGTCAAATAAGATTTATGTTTGTGAGAATGATTTTACAGATATCGTGATTTGAGTGATCCTACATAAGTTTCTCTCCAGCAAAATTGAAACCCCCCATGATCTGAAAAAGGATTCTGGCTTCTGATTGAGTGGCTCCTAAACTGACACTCAGATGCTTGATTAAATTCATTCTTCAAAAATAATAATCTTCTGGACAATATCAATTGCATCAGCTTTTAACAGGTGTGCACATGACCACAAATAGTGATGTGACATGGAGAAAATGAAGCTACAAAATTTGTGTACGTTGATGAAGATATAAACGGTCATAAGCACTAAACACATTTAGGAGGCAGGGACCAACTGAGAATTGAAGCTTTAACCACAGCCAATTATGGATTATCCACCAAGAAACGTGGGACACTTCACCATAATCTGCACTAATGCGGGAAGTGTTCGTATTTCCAATTTGTTATTTCTCCACTGTCGTTATTTTATTTTATATTTCTAGTTTTGGGATGGATAAATCAAAGGATAATAAAAAAATATAACGAAAAAAGATTGGGACCCTAAGTATACTTTAATGAGAGTACGATTTTCATGCTTATCAATTTTTTATGTTCTAGTCTTCAGTGGATAATTTAAAGAAGAATAAGAAATAAACTAGATGTGTGAATATAACTATTTTCCATTCCATGATTTTAAATTGCATTGTCTTGATCTTCCATCCTAGTAATTGTGGGTTGTCGACTAGCTAGTCTGGAAGGGAACCCTAAACCCTAGATTTGTAATATATACTTGTTTGAGTGACATTGATTAAACTACTTGACTATAATAGATTTAAGTGACTTGTAGATTTGATCAATGGAGTTGTCATGGTAGTTAGGCAGGGTGTTGATCGTTTAACCTCAAGTCATATTGTAGAAAATCTTCAATATCATCGTTATATATCTTCATGTCAATGTCTCACTTATAGCAGTACTTCACTCATTATATTATAAATAAGACATTCACATAAAGATATATTCGCTGCGAGATAATTGATTTAGTGTCCACCTACATCTGTGCCACAATGTCATAAAATCCTTATAACAGAAGGGAAAATAGCTAGAGCATGGTGCTGTAAGCCAAGCTGTCAACGTTGCTGATTGACTTGGTCCCCTGCAACCCTTGTCCCCATATCTTATCATTCAAATCTCTCTCTCTCTCTCTCTCTCTCCTGAAAAGGATGACACTCTGTATGCCCTGTGGTTTACAAACCATCGTACAATTCTAAGATCGATGGAGTAGAGAGAGAGAGAGTTGTGCAACCAACATTAGAAGGTTGGTTGAATTTTTGAATAAAGAGGTTGGTTGAATTTTTGAATAAACGACAGGTTCCATAGATAGATTGGTTGGTTTTTGAATATATTTTGTGGTCGTTTCTGAATATATGTTGTGGACTATATAATCATACGCTACATGCTACAAATTTAGTAGACCTCCAATAAAGATTGTAAGCTGTAACGACTTTGTTCTTTGTTTTTTATTTTTTATGCATTATTTCCTCTTCTGAAAACCCAGCAGCCACAAAAACTTCTCCAATGGAACCATCTGTATGTGGAGAAGACGACATCGTTAGGTGGTTTGAGGACATGACGGAGAAGGCAGGTTCAGTTCAAACGCAGACGCTCTGGCGGATACTTGAGCTGAATTTCGAAGTGGAATATCTCAAGAAATGGTTGGGGGACATCGAAATCCAAGAGGTAGATCCATGTGTGTTGGAATCACTCTACACTTCTTTGGTGCCTCTTGCTTCACATGCAGATTTAGAGCCTTACATTCATAGAATTGCAAATGGGGAATCAGGCCCCATTCTCACAAAACAACCTATAACTACTCTCTCCTTAAGGTTAGCTTCTTAATTATATTCATAAAAGTTGAGATGTGTTTCAATTAGTCCTAGTAAATATACTAACTAGGATCAAATTAGAATATTGCTAGAATAAAATAGATTTTTTTTTTTGTTCTGTTGGATTCAAGGAATAAAACCAGTACCTGTATATGTTCACACTTTGTAGAAGGGTCTAATGGTCTCTTTGGTTACATTTTTCCTAGTTCTGGAACCACAGAAGGAAGACAAAAGTACGTACCGTTTATGCGCCACAGTTCACATACCACTCTTCAAATTTTTAGGCTGGCTGCAGCTTATAGATCAAGGTTTAAACTTTGTCTCTTAAATTTCAGTCCAGTATTCGAATTCATTAGACTGTCATATATGAAGGTAGCTATTTTTACAGCTTTTCATATTTATATGAAGTTAAAAACCTTTATATTTACAATTATATGTCAAAAGCACTAGTTAGAATAATATTCCAAAAGTATTAATTTAAACTTGTTTAACCGTGACTCTTTAATTTTACTTTCTTCGTCTTAATCGTAGGGTTTATCCGACGAGAGAAGGAGGGAGGATCTTGGAATTCATATACAGCAGTAGACAATTCAAAACCAAGGGAGGATTAACAGCAGGAACAGCCACAACTCACTACTACGCCAGCCCAGAATTCAAAATTAAACAAGAAAAAACCAAGTCATTCACTTGCAGCCCCGAAGAAGTCATTTCGAGCGGTGACAGCAAGCAATCAACATATTGTCACCTTCTCCTCGGCCTCTTCTTCTCCGAGCAAGTAGAGTTCATAACCTCCACCTTTGCGTA